GTGAGGTCTTAGGTGTGTGGACAGGTGAGCTCAGGGACAGCATCGTCCCCTCTTCCCTCCTCCCTTCCTGCACCGAGGACGCTTGGGGCGGTTGGGGGGGAGCGGCACAGGGCTAGTGTCCGGGTGTGTCCCCAGGTGAGGTCTCAGGTGTGTGGAAGGTGAGCTCGGAGACAGTGTCGTCCCCTCTTCTCTCCTCCCTTCCTGCACCGAGGACGCTTGAGGGGGGGAACAGCACAGGGCTGGGTGTCCCCAGGTGCCCCCAGCAGGTGAGGCCTCAGGTGTGTGAAAGGTGATCTAGGGGACAACATGGTCCTCTCTCTCCCCACCTCCCTTCCCGCACTGAGGACGCTCACGGTAGGGGGGGACAGCAATGGGCTAGTGTCCAGATGCACCCAGCAGGTGAGGCCTCAGGTGTGTGGGCAGGTGAGTTTGGAGGTGCAAAGTGGTCTCCTCTCCTCCCATCTCCCTTCCCTGGACCAAGGATGCTCACAGGTGGGGGGATAGCATAGGGCCAGCATCCAGGTGCTCCCAGCAGGTGAGGCCTCAGGTGTGAGGACAGGTGAGCTCAGGGACAACGAGTTCTTTTCAACTTCTCTACACTGAAGATGCTTACAGGTTGGGAGAATAGATAACACATTGCCAGTGTCCAGGTGTTCCCAGCAGGTGAGGCCGTAGGTGTGAGGACAGGTGAGTTCGGGGACAGTGTAATCCCCTCTCCCCCCCCACCTCCCTTCCCTGCACTCAGGATGCTCACACGCAGGGTGGGGACAGCATAGGGCCAGTGTCCAGGTGCTCCCAACAGGTGAGGCCTCAGGTGTGTGGACAGGTGATCTCGAGGACAGCATGGTCCTCTGTCTCCCCTCCCTTCCTGCACTGAGGACTCTCGGGGTGGGGTGGGGGAGTTGGGGAACGGCACAGAGCTAGTGTCCAGGTGTGCCCTGCACGTAAGGTCTCAGGGGTATGGACAGGTGAGCTTGGGGGGCAGTGTGGTCTCTTTTTCCCCCACCTCCCTTCCCTGGACCAAGGATACTCACAGTTGGGGGGGGGACATCATAGGGTCAGCATCCAAATGCTCCCAACAGGTGAGGCCACAGGTGTGAGGACAGGGGAGCTCAGGGACAACATGTTCCCTTTTCCTGTTTCTCTACACTGAAGATTCTTACAGGTTTGGAGGGACAGATAGCATATTGCCAGTGTCCAGGTATTCCCAGCAGGTGAGGCCATAGGTGTAAGGACAGGTGAGCTTGGGGAGAGCATGTTCCCCTCTCTCCCCCACCTCCCCTGTACTGAGGATGCTCACACGCAGGGTGGGGACAGCACAGGGTCAGCGTTGAGGTGCTCCCAGCAGGTAACACCTCAGGTGTGTGGACAGGTGATCTCCAGGACAGCATGGTCCTCTCTCTCCCCTCCTCCCTTCCTACCGCGAGGACGCTCACAGTTGGGGGGGACAGCAGTCGGCTAGTGTTCAGGGGTGCCCGCAGGTGAGGCCTCAGGTGTGTGAGGACAGGTGAGGGTATGAGCCCACTAACTAGCCTGGTGACCGCATCCCCGAGGGCTTTTGAGCCGAGTGTTTTCTGTTTGGCTACGTCCGTGTGGCAGCCAGGACCCTGCAAGTTCAAATCCCTAGTAGCCCCGTCCCTGTACCCACCCCCATGGTCACGTGACCCTTCACACAGCCCCCCTTCACCCTCTGCACCCCATATTCATGCACGCGCAGCCACGCCCCTGTACCCCCAATGGTCACGTGACCCTCACGTAGCCCCCCCCAACCCTCCGTACCCCACATTCACGCACGCACAGCCCCGCCCCTGTTCCCACGCACACACTCAGGGTCCCACGTGCGCCACTGTCCGAGTCCCACTGACCAGCGCGTGTGCGCACGTGGCCTCACCCTCGGACATCTCTCTCCTTAGAGAGGATCCGGGGTTGTCCGGAGGTCACGGCCGTGTTCCTGAACGTGGAGAAGATGGGCCCCCTCACCAAGGTACCTGGGGGGGGAACCCCGTGCTGGACACTGGGGGTCAGCACCTGCGGGAAAGGACCAGGCAGGTGGGGGCTCGGGGATGGAGGTGAGAGGGGCTGCGTGGGACGGACAGGTCGGGCCCCCTTTACGTTTGCGAGGTCTTCCTTCACCTGCACCCCCAGGAAACGTGTGTGACATTGGCCAGGTGTGTCCCTGCCACGGTGTGCATTCTACCTCGGTTTGCACCTGCCCAGGTGTGGACCTGCTGACAGGTGTACCTGCCCCCGGGTGCGCTTGCCCCGGGTGCCAGCGTTTCTCCTGCTTCTGCTCCCACAGAAGGTGCTGGAGGCTGGTTAGGACGTGCAGGTGTGCACCTGCTGACAGGTATACCTGTCCCAGGTCCCAGCACAGCTGCCCCTTCTCTCTCTCTGCAGAAGGCGCTGGAGGGCGCCTAGGGCTTGTACCTGCCCAGGTGTGGACCTGCTGACAGGTGTACCTGTCACGGGTGCTAGCGCGTCTCCCCTCTATGCAGAAGGCGCTGGAGGCGGCCTGGGGCGTGCACCTGCCCAGGTGTACACCTGCTGACAGGTGTACTTGTCCTGGATGAGAGCACGTCTCCCCTCTGTCTCTGTAGAAGGCTCTGGAGACCGCCTGGGGTGTGCACCTGCCCAGGTGTGGACCTGCTGCCAGGTGTACCTGTCCTGGGTGGCAGCACAGCTGCCCCCTCTTTCTGTAGAAGGCTCTGGAGGCCACCTGGGGCATGCACCTGCCCACGTGTACACCTGCTGATAGGTGTACCTGTCCCAGGTGCAAGCACGTCTCCCCTGTCTCTCTGCAGAAAGCTCTGGAGGCCACCTGGGGCGTGCAGGTGTTTGACCGCTTCACCATCGTCCTGCACATCTTCCAATGCAACGCGCGCACCAGGGAGGCCCGGCTGCAGGTGGCCCTGGCCGAGATCCCGCTGCTCAGGTAGGCGCCGGACCCCGTCCCTCGCCTGTCCAGCCACAGCGCTGGACCCACAGTCCCCGCAGCAGTGCAGTCCAGCTGGCGGTTTCATGCATGGACAGTGTCCAGGAGAGTGAGGGGGGGTCAGAGCGGCTGAGGGCTCATGTTGTAGCCGTCCTGCTGCGAGACCCTGGTTCAAGTCCTGGTCTGGACATTCAGGTCCTCCACCCCAGTCACTGCCCGCTGCTGCTGGACGGGCTTCAGCTCAGACCCTCCACAGACCAGGAAGAAACGGCTGGCGATGTGCTGGTCATCCCAGCTGGTCGTCACAGTCATCGGCTGTAAGGGTCACCGCTGCGCCTGGTCACAGGGCTGGACGGCGTCCGCCTCCCCTGGACACAGCGTGGGTGGGTGGGGGGTGACACAGGACAGGAGGGGCAGTTACGGGAAACCTGGGTCACTGACCACAGACACCCGAGTGGGCTGGGAGATGCCCCGTCCACCTGTCTATCCCACACACCACCTCTCCTGTCCTGGGTGTGGACATTACCCCGTCCACCTGTTCTTCCCCACACACCTCCTTTATCCTATTCTGGGGGTAGACACTGCCCTGTCCACCGGTCCTTCCCCACACACCACCCTTCTCCTGTCCTGGGGGTGGACACTACCCCGTCCACCCCGGTTAGGATCCCACTCGGACTTCACATCACCGCTCACCTGTGTGCTGGGTCCCGTGCTCCGACCGCATGGCCGCGTTCTGGAGTGGACACGTGCTGCCACGTCTGTTAACAGTCCACCCCTGTCCCCACACCAGGTCCAACCTGAAGAACGGCCTCCTTCACCTGGACGCCCCGGGAGCAGGTTCTCGGAACATCATGGGGTTAGGTACGTGCGTTCGTCCTTCCACACCTCCTGTCCTTGGGGGTGGGAGCTTCCCTGTCCACTTGTCCGTCTCCACACACGACCCCTTCTACCTGGGGGTGGGAGCTGCTGTCCACCTGTCCATCCACACACACGACCTCTCTTACCCTGGGGGTCAGGTAGTTCTGTTCACTTGGCCATCGTCCCTCTGAGAGGATGGTGTGGTCAGAGCCCCTCCGAGGGTGCAGGGGACAGTCCTTCCTCAGCCCGTCCAGTGCTGGTCTCTTCTGCTCTGTGCTGAGGACCCCTCTCCGGGCACCAGGACCCTCTGTCCTCCAGGGTGACCTCACGGTCCCTGCTGATCTCTGCACAGACACACGTCTGAGTGGACAGAGTGGGCAGGCCCCTCCAGAGGCTTCAGGGAGGGTCCTTCCTCAGCCGGTCCAGCTCCTGGGGGCCCCTGGGGGTCCTGGGCTCGTGGCCGCCTCTGTCTCGTCCCCACCTGCACACGGCCGTCTCTCTGTCCTTTAACGTCACCGGCTGTTGGGTCGAGGGTCCTCCTTTGCGTGGTCCCCCACTGGACGTCTGGCTGACCATCCGCTGGGTCCCAGGTGGGAGGAGAAGGTGGTCACTGGGCCGGCGTGGGGTGGACAGCGGCAGGTCCCCGTGAGGTGGACGGCGGTGGGTTCCCGTGGGGTGCACAGCAGCAGGTCAATGGGCCGGCGTGAGGTGGACAGCGGCTGGACCCCACGGGCCAGCGTGGGGTGTACGTCAGTGGGCGGCCTCCCACAGGGAGAGTATTTCTCCGTGTCCACGTCCGAGGCCTTGACGGTGCAGGACAGGGCTAGTCCAGGTGCCACCTGAGGTCCACAGTGGGCAGTTGTGAGCGTGGACAGCAGCCCAGGCCGGGTTAGAGGGACAAGCTTGCTCCTGAGACGTGGTCCAGGGACCCCGGGGGCACCAGCAGCCTCCCCCAGGGCCGGCGGCCTGAGTTCAGGACCGTAGACCCCTGGCCAGTGAGAGAAGACTTCTGCCGGCGAAAGCCCCGTCGGGGTCAGCGTTCATTCTCTGAGGTTCCGTGATAGCGGTCACTAGGGGGTGACTTTCCCTAACAGACTCAGTCTCTCGGACGTGGAGGAGGCCGGATGTCCACGTTCAGGGGGGTGGCTCCCTCTGTCTCTCTGGGTTCTGGAGGACGGAGGTCTGTGCACCCCTCGTCCATAATCACCCCGGCATCCACTGGACAAGAGCCCCGGGCGTCCTGGCCGTTCCCAAGAGGTCAAGGGCCTGACCAGCACAGGGACACGCGTGCAGGAGGACGCCCGGCGACCGGGAGGCGATTTCTGGGGGGTGCTGACCTCCCCGCTCTCCGCTCCGTCCTTCTCCCCGTTCTCTGTAATGCGGCGCAGCCTGGGGGACACCCTCCCGTCTCAGGGTCTGTCCTTAGAAGGACACAAGTCCACTCTCCATACTGACCTCTGAGCCCTAGTTGGCAGGGCGCGTGCTGTTAGCTAACTGACCCCAAGGCAATGAGTCCCTGCTGGCCCACGTCCACCCGTTGTCCTGCAGGAGGGAACTGGACGTTCTCCCGTGCAACTGGCAGCTTCTGAGACCCGCTGAGGGGTCAGCGGTGGGCTGGCTCTGACCCGGCCACGGGGAGACTGAGGGTGTTAACGCTCTGTGTGTGGAACACGGGACGTGAGCAGTGCTGGGGGGACGCTTCCCAAACGGGGGGGCCCTCGCTCGCAGGTCCAGGGATCACCCCTCAGCCCCAGCCGCTCAGAAACCCCCGTGTCCATCCAGGCCCAAGTGGACCTCACTCTCCCCTGAGCACTGCCGCTCCGGTGGCCTCGTGGGGGGGGTCACAGACAGGTCCCACCGGCTGCAAACTGCAGCAAGGTGTATCGGCCGTGGGGGGGCCCCGGCTGGTCAGTGTCCATGCACTCCTGACCTCTGTCCACCTGCACCGCCTCCCCTCAGCCTGCATCTGCCCGCTGCCTGCTCCTCCCCCCCTTACCAGCTACCCCGAGTGCTGTCCACTGTTCACTGGCCGTCCCGAGTGTCCCCGCCCCCTCACTGACCACCCCAAGTGTCCCCCCAGGTGAGACGCCCCAGCAGGTGGGGCAGCGCGTGCTGAGGGAGCGGGAGGCCAAGATCCGGCGGGCGCTGGACAGGCTGCGGGCGAAGAGACGCCTCGTCCACACCGAGCGCCAGCGGAGGGACCTCCCGGTCATCGCCGTCGTGGGCTACACCAACAGTGGTGAGCGGGACGGGGCCCGGGGGACGCGGTCACCCCGGGACGGGGCGTGGGGGACGCGGTCACCCAGGGACGGGGCGTGAGGGACGCGGTCACCCCGGGGTCCTTCCCCACGCTCCTGGACCCGCTGCAGTTCTCGGCCAGGGAAGCCCGGGGTCAGCTCCATACTCGCTGGAGGGGACACAGGATACGCAGGACAGAGAGACAGGCTGGACTGATGGACAGGAGGGATAGAGGCCGTGTGTGAGACCAGGAGGACAGGCCTGGTGCTCCCTTTATTAAAGAGAGAGACCAGGGAGAAAGGCCTGGTCATTACCTTCCCCAGGCCTGAGACCAGGAACAGAGGCCTGGACGTCCCCTTCCCCACGACTGAGACCAGGGACAAAGGGTTGACCATCTCGGAGGTGGAGCTGGCCCGGGTGGGGTGTGTTCACGGGGGATGGGGCTCCCCGCGGTGGACGGGCCAGACCACGTGTGGGCCAGCAGCCCTCCAGGACCCCAGAGCCCCTGTTTGTCAAGCCTGCTGGACGGCCGGAGGGCGGCTCACGGTGACCCTTGACGCCTTGGGGAGAGGCGGGGTCTTTGGGGTCACTCAGCCTCACTCTGCGGGCGGGCTTGTTGTCCAGTGCTGCTCCCTTCACCCCTGGCCACTCCTCACCCCCTCCCCGGCCAGACACCCCCGTGCTCTCTGCTCCCAACACCTCACCCCCTACCCAGCCTGTCACCCCGATACCTGCTCTGTCCCCCAGCTCAGGATGCTCCCTGACCCCTCCCCACCTGTGACCCCACGTCCTCTGTCCCTCAGCCCAGGATGCTCCCTGACCCCTCCCCAGCCTGTCACCCCATGTCCTCAGTGTCCCCCCCTCATCTGCCACAGTCTGTGACCCCATGTCTTATCTGTCCACCCACCCAGCCCAGGACGCTCCCTAGCCTGTCACCCCCACACCCTCTGTGTCCCCCACCCACAGCACCCAGTCACCCCATGTTCTCTGTGTCCCCCCACCCAGTCCAGGATGCTCCCTGGCCTGTGACCCCGTGTCCTCTGTCCCCCACGCTCCCCTGGACGCTCCCCCATCAGTCCTCCGCCTTGTCCCCCCATGCAGTCTGTTGACCAGTCCCCCCACCTGGGCTCTCCGGGAAGGAGGCCGTGTGGCCCCCTCCGCTCCCCTTGATGTCCAGTGTTGCCCCCCCTTGTGGACCGCAGGCTGGACGTTGCCCATCTGGGAGCTGACACGGGTGGGGGGTGGGCGGTTTGGGGGTGCAAGTCCCGTCCTGGAACCCCTGTCCAGCTGCACCTGTGACCGGCCCCCACCTGGTCTCCAGGGAAACCAGGCTGATGGGGTGTGGTCACCCGCTGACCCACCAGGTGATGCCCAGGAGAGGGACAGGTGGGGGTGAGGTCCCCCACGTTCCTTCCTGTGACCCCCCAGGTGTCCCACCCTGTGGTCTGCACGCGACCTGCCCCACATGACCCGCAGGGAGGCAGCAGGTGGACGGGGCAGCGCCTGAGGGTCAGGCCCTACGACCCCTGCTCTGGCCGTCGATGCCCCCTCCACCCACAGCTGTTCCCGTGACCCCCGTTCTGTCCCGTGTCCTCCAGGGAAGACCACGCTGATCCGGGCGCTGACCGGGGACCAGGCCGCGCGGCCGCGGCATCAGCTGTTTGCCACGCTGGACGTCACCGCCCACGGGGGCCGGCTGCCCTCGCAGCTGGCTGTGCTGTACGTGGACACCATCGGCTTCCTGAGCCAGCTGCCACACCAGCTCATCGCCTCCTTCTCCGCCACCCTGGACGACGTGGCCCAGGCGGTCAGTGCAGCCAGGGGCCACAGAGGGTGCTGGACCC